GTGTGTGTGTGTGTGTGTGTGTGTGAGTGAGTGTGTTTGTGTGTGAGAGTGTGTGTGTGTGTGTTTGAGAGCTGCCCGTAAATAAACGCCTTCTGAGATGTGTTCTTAAAAAGCATCTCCATTGACAGCCATTCAAGAATAATTATGTATTAGGACTAATTAAATTGCAAGAGTCATATAAATTGTTAATATTTCATTATATTTTTTAATGTACTTTTATAGTATTTATTAATATTTTAAATTAGCCTTTATTTTTATATTTTCAGTTTTATTATAGTTTGTTTTAATAATTATTTGTGCTTTTGAATTAAAAAAAATATTGAATTTCAAATTTTGAAATTTAATTAAATTTTTTTATATTTCTGTATACAGTATTTTTCTCTCTTTTTTTTCCACTTTCCGCTAGTTATTTCATTTGGTTGCTAGTGCAACATTTCTAAGTTTTTACAATTATTTTGCAGGTTTTTCATCTAATAATTCTATTTTATTTCAGTTACTGAAAATGTTTAATATTTTAAATAAATTTGCTATGTATAACAAAAAAATAAGCAGCAATATTATATTTGTACTTTTTTAACAATATATGCAATGCAAATGGATCATTAAATGAAAGATCAGAAAAAAACAATAAATAAAATATATTAGATTGTTTTTTAAATCTATATGAATTTTTAATATTTAAAAATGTATATTCAAAACTAGCATAGATAAAAGAATATAAAAATAATCAATTACATTTTTTAAATAATATTTATTAATATTATAATTATTTATATTTAGAATATTTAATAGTATTTAATATTTTGGCATTTATTTTTATATATATATTTGACTATATAAATGCAAAGCTAACATATGTAATTCCTACATTTTGATATGTAAATAAAAAAATATAAATAAAAATGTACCAAAATTATACTTCATTCTACAATCTCACTACAAGAGAAAACGGAACAACTTTTCCCCTTCAAAATACCTTAAATGCTTTACCTCTAAATGCGTCCATTCTTCATGTCTCCCATAGCCCCCCAAACCTCAAATAGAAAGACGTCAGGAAAGCCGAAGTCGCCCAGAACAGAGTCGAGCGCCTCAGCGAAATCATCTGGGTTCTTCTTGTTCTTCCCGGCCTCCACGATGGTAGTCGCTGTAGGACACAAGATCAAAAATGTATCATTGCATCAGTGTCTCAGCAGTGAATGGGTGCCGTCAGAATGAGAGTCTGATAAAAACATCACAATAATCCACACCACTCCAGTCCATCAGTTAACATCTGGAGAAGACAAAAGCTGAAACAAATCCATCATCAAGATGTTTTTAACTAAAATACGAGTCCATAATCCATAATAACTCTTCCTCCAGTGAAAAAGGGCATCTCATGTTGTCTCTCGCATCAAAATCCAGCCACATATGTGTTTAGAGCTGTTTAAACGGTGTTTGATCTGTGCAGATTTCTCTCCTGATTCACACCAGACCAAGTTATCATGTGTTATCTTGGATTACGGACTCGTATTTTAGTTAAAAACGTCTTAATGCTGGATTTGTTTCAATGTTTGTCTTCTCCAGATGTTAACTGATGGACTGGAGTGCTGTGGATTACTTGTAATGCTTTATCAGACTCTCATTCTGACGGCACCCATTCACTCCAGAGCATCCATTGGTGAGCAAGTGATGCAATGCTACATTTCTCCAAACCTGATGAAGAAACAAACCCATCTACATCTCGGCTGGCCGAAGGATGAGAACATTCTCAGCTAATTTTTATTTTTGGGTCAACTACTTCTTTAATTTGGGTTTTTTTTGGAACGAGTCGATCCCTGGAGGCCACGGAATGCTTCCAATAATGCTCGTGATGAAATGCACTGAATTCATGGGAATTACAAAGACGTTCTGCAGGCCTTTTACGGTAAAGTCCAAATCTCAGAAGAATCTCACCGAGCTCGAGGTCCCGGATCCCCATGTAACTCTCCAGCAGGTCGTCGACCTTCTTGATGGCCTTGTCTTCGATCTCATCGGGCTGTTGGAAGACAAATGGTTGAGATAAAGAGCAAAGTTAAGGTTGAAAAGGCCTGGGATTTGCACCCTGACTCACGATTTCCTCCAGCGTGGCCGATCCTTTGGAGCGCAGCCGCAGCGTCTCTTTCCCGCTCACCATTTTGCCCTCGCTGGACTTTGGCGCTCGCGTCCTCTGGCCTATCATGTCTGATCGACACACAAACACAAACACACTTAACCTTTCAATCGCTTCAGTTTTGAAATGGGTGCAACGGAAAAAAACAGGAAAACAGATTGAATCATCAAGAGCGATTGATGAAAGAAATTCCAGGATTCCGTTTCCTGGCTTTATGAGAAATCGTGCAACTCATATCCGCTTTGGGATTACAGTAAATGCAAGCATGATATTTTACTGATATATCACTTGATTTTTGTTTAGTTTAACTTGATGTACTGAAATAACTGAAATGAAAAGGAATGAAAACTATACAGACGTGTTTCAAAAGGAACAAAATGACAAAAACACAAAAGAAAATTACTAAACTTTAACAAAAATATAAAAATGAATAATGATTCTAAAATATATATTTCTGGTGAATCAGTTTATTCAGGTGAGTCAAGTAGGGGAATCAAAACAACGATTCACTGATTCACTGCATTTTTATATCAAAGTTATATTGAATCAATTGAATTATTTTCTATTTAAATTCTCCTGCTCATATATTCAACGTTATATATTCTTGTTTTTTTCCCCCTGTATGTTGTATATTTTTATATTAATATTGATTATTTATATTATATATTAACATGTAATATTTCATATTAATATATAAACATTTATTATAAAGTTACGATATGATAACGGTAACATAATTAAAATACAAAAATAATGTATAGTTTTCCCCATGTTTTGTAAATATGCTTCAATAGTCTATATTTCAACTACAGTCAAGCTAAACGTTTAAAACAGGAGTTAGCTTCGCTACAAGCTACAAGAGCCCGGTCTCATGAAAATACGTATATAAATAGTGCGTCAAATAAAAACGAAAACTCGTGGTATTGATACGCAAAAATTTACTTTGGCGTGCGTATGATACGCATGTGTTTGACGTGCATATAATACGCAGTTTTCGCGTGCAAATGATACGAAATATGTTGGCGTGCATATGATACGAAATATGTTGGCGTGCATATGATACG